TCTCACATTCCATGTACCAATCACTAGGGTCTGCTTACAGCTGTTCCTCCTCCCTTGTGTTTCCATACTTGATGATTATACCTAGGTTGCCCTTTTTGTTAATCTGCGTGTGTTCTGTTGTGCATAGGGTTTTCAGAGGCCTGCTATTTCAGAAGTGGGTGGCCAATCCTTCGATGTTCATTTCTCAGATGCAACATATAAATTATTCCTGAGGATTCTTATTAGTATATTAATGCTAAAAAAAAAAACCCTGTGACATTTTTTAGTGATACATATTTTATCTTTCAAGATTGTCTATTTTGTTGTTGTTATGTGCCGTCAAGTTGCTTTTGACCCATAGAAACCCTATGTACAGCAGCTCTGAGGCCTGCCCTATCCTGAGCCAGTCTGACTAATCCAACACACCTATCCCCATTTCCCCAGTCACTTAATCAATCCATTTCATCTAGGGTCTTCCTTTTCTGCGCTGTCCCTCCACCCTTCCATGATGTCCTTTTCCAAGGACTGGTCTTTCCTGGCCACATGCCCAAAGTGTGTGAAATGGAGCTTCAAAATAGTAGCTTTCAAGGACAAACTTAGTTTCACCCTCTCCAAGACATACCTAATTTTTTTCTTGGTGGTCCATGGTATGTTCAAGACTCTTTTTTCAGCACCACAATTCAAAGACATCAATTCTGTATACTTTTTTTATTCTAGAAACTTAGTAAACCATAATAAAAAAAAATGAAAATTATTTTCTAAAAATTTAATGATGTTAGGTCACTTATATCATTGCTTAAAGAATGAGTGGATTTGATGTTTTATTACAGCAAATCAAATTTTAAATAAACATCATGGAATCAGACTTATTCTTGGCTTACAGACATGGAATAAAACAATTCTTGTTAAAAACAACAGATACATGAAGAGAGAGATTGGAATAAGGTCGAGACACAAAAACTGGAGAAGAGCCGTGGTCAATTGAATCAAAAGGTGAAACAGTGAAGAATGCATAGTATCAATTGAATTTAGCACAAGCAGATTATTACGAGCAACACTGATGAAAATATGGCTTATAGAGTGTTGGAGGGCAAGGCCAAGTTGAAGGGATTGAGGATTAAAGGTGAGGAAATGGAGATAGTACATGAGTATAGTAGTAGTTCACAGAACTTGACTGTTGAGAGTAGGAAAATCTAGATAAAGATATTTTTGCTTTGTGTTTGAAGGAAAATTAAGTGACACCTTTTAGTAGGGGTTCAAAGCATCCAATAGAGAGGGACAGATGACAGTTTCTTCTCACTAGTCAAAGTTTGTAAGGATATTAAGTTAATAAGATGGATAACTTTGTACCATACTTGTCTAGCAGACTGTTAACATGAGTCTACACTGGAAAACGTTGTCATTTTTGTTGTTATGTGCCGTCGAGTCACTTGCGACTTGTAGTGGCCCTGTGTACAACAGCCCTAAACCCTGCTCTGTCCTGTGCCAGTGTCACCATCTCCAACACACCTACCCTCACTACCCCTGTCACTGGATCAGTCCATCTCATATAGGGTCTTCTTCTCCTGCACTATCCCTCAAACCTCCCAAGCATGATGTCCCTCTCCAAGGACTGGCTATATAGCATAGTGGGTTCTCTATTGGGCTATTAACCAGAAAGTTGGCAGTTTGAACCTACCAACTGCTCCACTGGAAAAAAAATAAAGCAATCTACTCCCATTGAGACTTAAGTTTTAAAAACCCATGAGTCATACATAAGTCACTTGGCATCAGTAGATTTGTGACTGTGATTTTAATAGCTGTGTCGAGAAAGTATTTTCCAAAAGAGAGGTCAGCAAACTTTTTCTGTAAAGATCTAAATATTTTCGATTGTTTCAACCAAGTATGTGATCCATTACAACTAATAAACCCTGCATTGTAGCACATCAATAATAGCCATCAATAATATGAATACGTCATCGATAACTGAATGAGACGGTGTGCCAATAAAACTTAATTTATGGATCTGAAACGTGAATTCATGCCATCAGAGCTGCGTGGTGGGGCAGATTTGGCCAGCAGTCAATGGTTTACTGTCTCCTGTCCTAGAACTTTCGTTTTCTATTTCTTTAACTTTTACTTATCTACCTCTTAAATGGGATTTAACCTCTACCATGACCTTTTTCTGAAGTTTTCCACCTTGCTTTTCTTTTACTGATACATTCTGATAAAGGTATTACCAATGATGAATAAAACATAGGTAGAAAACACCTGCTGTCTATGTACTTAATTGTATTGTTGTTGTTATATGCCATCTCTTATGACTCATAGCGACCCTATGTACAACAGCCCTAAACCCTACTCTATCCCATGCCAATCGCAGTGCCTCTGACGCACCCATCGCGATTACCCTAGTTACTGAATCAATCCATCTCATAGAGGGTCTTCCCCTCTTGCTCCGTCCCTCCACCCTCCCAAGCATGATGTCCCTCTCCAAGGACCTGTCCCTCCTTACAACATGTCCACAGTAAGTCAGACGAAGCCCCAGAATCTTGCCTCCAAGGAGTAGCCTGTTTTAACCCTCTCTAGGATGAATCTGTTTGTTTTCTTAGCAGTCCATGGTACATTCAGTACTCTTCTCCAGCACTACAGCTCAAAGGCATCAATTCTCCTTCTATCCTCCCTAGTCATTGTCCAACTCTCTGATGCATAACAAGTGATTGCAGAGACCATGGCCTTTATCAGGCAGACCTTAGTCTCCAGAGAGACACCGTTGGTCTTGAGTACTTTAGAGAGGTCCTTAAGTGCAGACTTTCCCATCGTAATACGTTTTTTTTATTTCCTGGATACTGGTGCCCAGAGTGTTGACCGTGGAGCCAAGCTGACTAAAGTTGTTAACAATCTCAATCTTTTTACCATCTATCATGATGCTGCCAATTGGTCCAGTGGTGAGAATCTTTGTCTTCTTGACATTGAGCCTCAATCCATACTGAAGGCTGCTGTCTTTGACCCTCTGCAGCAAGCGTTTCAGGTTTTCCTCAGTTTCAGCAAGCAGGGTTGTGTCATCTGCATAATGCAGAATCCCGATGTCACACTTCTCATAGAGGCCAGCCTCCCAGATAATCTGTTACGCATACAAGTTGAAAAGCTATGGAGATAGGACACATCCCTGGCATACACCTTTCCCAATTTTGAACCATGCAGTGTTTCCCTGCTCTGTTCTGAAGACTGCCTCTTAGTCCAAGTATAGGTTTCTCATTAGAACGATCAAGTGTTCTGGGATTCCCATTCTTCTCAGAGTCAGCCACAGTTTGTTACGATACACTTGAAAAACAGAAAATTTGAAAACCACTGTAAAATTTTTGACTTATTAGGTTGTTTCTTTTTAATCCACAGACTTTTTCCTCTCCATAATGAGTAATTTTCTAATTTAACTGTTTTTAGATCTGTTTGGTGTTTTCTTCTTTTAAACTCCACACTAATTATTTTAAAATAATTTGTTTTCACTTGTGGCATAAACATACCTAGCAAGATACATGCATTTAAACATATATTCAGATCTATCATTCAGTGGCATTAATTCATTCTCCACTATCCATTTCTAGCTGTCACTCCTAACAGAATATTACCACTTCATCCCATCTGCCCTTAGCAATGATTCCTTCCCCCTATCTCTAACCCTACCTATTGAACCTGGTAACCCCTAATAAACTTTGATCTCTAAACATTTGTTCACCTTTCTTTCTAAGCCTAGCAATAATTCTTCTAAAAGCTAATTAGTTGTGTTATTCTAAAGAGGAAAAAAATAGTACAGACATTGAAAAACAAGTTTCTAATACACAAAGCAGCACAGTTGAATGCAAACATCTGTTATGAAACTGGATAAAATATTACTGTTTACATCTAGATAAACAATACCCATATGATTTCAGATGAACTAAACACATCATTCTGACTTGAAAGGAAATTCCTAGCTGCTTTTTTGTAGCACACTATTCAGACAGCTGCCACCGAAGATACTGGAACACTTTATATTGTCAGTGAAGAGGGATTCTTCTTCTGTACTCCTTGAGCGTAATGTTTTATATCATCGTAGTCATGTTAAAGGATGGGGGTGAGGCTTGGCAGGGAATAGCCTGTGTTTTGTTGATAGAACTTGTTGATTTAACCTTTTGTAAATATGAAGTATTAAATAGAAAATAACTTGAAAACAACAGCCCCTTCAAAAAAATACTCCTGACATTGAACCAGTACACTCTTTTGTGCGGGGGAACCTCAACATTTTACTGTATTTGGGGTGAAATTTGTACAGAGCTTATTAGTTTCTCATTCAATAATTTGTACATTTTTTAGTTTGTGGTATTAATTGCAGTCCCCCCAGTGTAACAACTTTTCACACCTGGGCTTCATTTGTCCTTCTTTTCTGCCTCTTCACGTCATATTTTGTCAAACACTGTCCTTCTGGCCTAAAATGGGTAAATTCAGTTCTAAGCTTGAAAGGTGTCTAACTGCTATAGTTTTAGGGGTTTTACAGCATCTGTCAGACAAGCAAGTCTGGTCTTTATTTTAATGATTTTTTAAAATTGTGCTCTGTATTTTTCTTCCGAACCTGTGTACATTTAAAAGTAATAAATGTCTGTATCTTCAATAATGTTTCCTTCACCTTGTTTATTTTACTTCTGGAAACTTAGGTTTGACAGTTCTCTGGAAGGCATACCTAACAGTGGACCTCACCTACCTGCTACTCCTCAGGTTCTTAATACTGGTAGACAAGTAGCTACACATTTAAAAATAGCCACTACATCTTATAGGTAGGGTTTTTCCTTCTTGGTTTATCTAAGTTTTAATGCAAGCATGAACTGACGTACTAAACAAAATGATCGTAGATACAGGACTGACATTATTAACATATAGAAAAGAAAGCTTAACATAGTTCAGAAACACTACTTAACTTTGGTATTTAATGATTTTATTTGTTTAGTTTCTGGTGCAGAATCCGAAAGATTGTGTCTTCTATTTACTGACTTGGAAAGTCACCATTCCAAGTTTTCCTGATTCAAAGCATTAACCTTGAAAATAAAGATTGAGCTTATAATATGTTACCACATAACATAGTCTAAGATTATCTAGCTAAGAAATTTTAACATTTGCTTAACTTGTCGATACTATGGTAGAAAACTTTATTATTGTTCTTTTTTAACCCCATACAGAGAGGGGATAATTTAGCTGAATTTTCACTGATTTTTAAATAAACAACATTTCTAGTTGTTTTTATTAGCCTTTACTTCCCCCAAATAGTAATCATTGTAAGAAGATGTAGAGAAGCCAAAAGTTGAATCAGTTCATATCAGCCTTTCACTTTACAGCAGCACATTCATTAGCCTGTTTGGCCCTTGCTAGCAGTTTTCTTTTCTCTTCCCATTCTTTCTTTTCTAACTGCTCATGCAATTGTTTAAATATGCAGTTCCATATCATGGAGAATGTTGCAGAAGTTATTCTTTTTTTTTCTATAATTATATTTTATTAATTTTCATAAACATTTACAGAGATTTTGGGTTTCCATTCATTCATTGTTGCACTAGAAGTTATTCTTAAAATTGAATGGTTCTGTGTCCTTTTTTAACTGGCTTCCCACTATTTAATGTATCTTTCACTGGACAGTAAAGTCATATCTTATGAACTTAAGAGGATGACCTTGTCAAATTTTTCTGAGATGGAAAAGAGGCTCAGAACAACCTTCACTTTTGACATCTGAGTTCCAATTCCCTAGTCATTTGACACAAAATTAATTTATGTTAAAAGTGGTCACAGTCAGGGTTTTACCCCGTGCATTTGAGACCTTTTATTTTACATAATAAGAAAGAAATCCTTAATTCCAATTTAATAATCATTACTGAGAGTCGTCCAGTTTATTTTACTTAAATGCTTATAAAAGACCAAAGGGAAAGAATTGTTATTGAAGTAATAAGGATGTTGAACATAGATTTTTACCCTTACATTTTTTAATCAGTCACAGAGCTATCTGAAAATAAAAATACGAAACATCAGCAAGGAAGAGGATATATTTTACTCTTCTATAACTACTGTTTAGTTTTACAAAGATGCTTGCCCTCTTTAAGAGTATTACTCTCAGTATTTTAAACAGTTACATTTTTGTTCATGTGGATATATTTCTGAATAGGGCTGTTGAACCTGTTTATTCTGAAAATACAAATCTCATTTAAATGTGAGGCTATTGGGGTATGTCATCTTTAAGGTAAAACTCTCCATATGAAGACTATTTGGAAAAATTGACCTAATTTTCTTTCTTTTTCTGCTTATAGAAATTCAAACTTTCATGTTTAGAAATACTTTCTACTTAGTCATTGACAAAGCAATCTCTTAATGTTGATAGTTATGGTGATTTAATTTTAAACAAAATTAGAGACAGTGGTTTTAAATACATTAAGAAATGTTTGTATCCTAAAATAGGTTTTCTGGAAAATTAGACATAAAATTTTAATTTCTGTAAAAGATCAGAACCAAGTAAATAATGACCTGAACTCTTGTTACACTTCTTTTTCTACCTTCCTGATGTTTAAGTATGTATTTAGGATGGTTGCTATCTTTATCCTGATGTACTTCTCACTTCCCTTTTTTGTTCCTCTTCTCTATTTTCTTTCCCTGTATATTAATTGAAACAGCTTCACAGGAAATGTGGTGAGAAGTTCTTTGGAAGGTCTTCAAAGCTTTTCTACCTTCTCTTCTCCTGCTAGATATAGTGCTGCAGATCTGAGCAGTGCAGCTGCTACTGTGTCTGCTGTTCTTGCTACAAAAACCAGGTAGAACTACATGTGTACTGTCTGTCTGAATATGATTCCAACACTTTACTGTTTTACAAGTTACCTCAAAGAAATTTGAAAAGGTTTGCAGCTGTATTAATAAGCATCTTTATTATAAGTACTTCCTGTTGATGATGGTTGCCATTGAGGTCATTCTGACACATGTTGACCCAAGGAGTGCAGTATAGAGCTGTTCCCTAGTATTTGCCAGGCTATGCAGATTTCCAGGCATTTCTTCTGAGGCACTCCTGGGTATATACAAACTACCAGCCTTTTACCTAACAGATGATCACTTAACCATTTGCACCAATCTAGGAACTCTTCTTTATTATAGAATCTCAAGATTGTGGCTAAACCAAATTAATTTCTATTTTTTACTGATTTACCTTTAAATCATTCTTTGATTTGTTTTCTTAATTGCCATTTATCTTTGATATTCCTCAATTGTGTCTATCGCATGTTGTGTACTTACTGACTTCTTACTTGTCACTATCTATACGTGGGCTAGGGTCAACTCTTAATTAATAGGTATTTCAAGTTTACATTGGATTTGTTTTCTTTCACCACCTGCCTTTATCTGAAGGTGATCAAAATCATTGCTATTCTCCTTTCAAGAAAATGCATGGATTTTGGGGAGTGTTGTGGGATTGTTTGTTTATTTTATATTATTTTCTGGTTGCCTTTTCAGCTCTGTTTTCTAATAATTATCTTAGTCAATCTTGTCAGAATTGAATCCATTTTACATTAATTAGTGTAAGAATAGACTCTTAGCCCTTCTTTTTGTTATCTCTCTACTGCTTTCTTTTCTCTGTCTCATTCACTCAGAAAAATATACTTCAAGCCATAGACCATAAAGACTACCTTTTGTTATTAGTAATATGATTTTTCTACTTAAAACTCTTTGTAAATGCTTACCAGGCTCTACAGTCCTGAAAAGTATCATTCTCTCCTGGATGCACTCTGCATCAGCCCTGTTTCCAAGCCTCTAGCTTTTTCGAATCTCCAATCCTGGAGGAAATCAACCAGCTCTATCCATGTTGCACAAACAAGGTATTATGGGAGAGGATATGTCAAGTGGTGACAATGTTAAACACACTGCTTTCTCTAACACTTAACTACCATGTTAACAGGCCGGCTTAAAAAAATAAATAACTCTTAGAGCTTATTTCTACCCAATTTTTAATTAATTATAGTTCATTCATGCAGTGCTGAACACAAGCACATTACTTTGTATTACTATTAGTTCATCTTTTAACTCTGTGATAGTCTTCATTAACACACTTAACTGTTTTGTATACAATTAATTGTACTGATATATAAAGTTCAGTAGAGCCCATTCTTTAATTGCATGAATGAAACAGTGCTAGAATAATGAAATGTTTAGTTAGATCAAGTGAAAAAGTACAAGAATAAGAAGATATAGGTAATCTCTGCCTTATCTTGTATTCAAGTTACAACAAACTATACTTAAAACAGATCTGTTTTTTGGTAGTATCTTATCAGTGTTTATTTTATGCTGTATTGCAGTGAGTGATTAGTAGATATTGGCAATCTCGTGCTAACCTCTGAAGACAAATACTCATCAGATCAATAAAGTCACTGATAAATAGATGGCAATAACAATGAAACCTTTTTATTTAAAAAACCTTTTTTTAAAGTAAGGTAGTTAACTAACTTTAGCACTGACTTATTATGTAGTTGAAGATTTCTGTAGTTGAGGATTCTCATCATAAGTTGAGAGTACCTTTAGTTGATTATGATTGAATACTGTCATAGAGCTCTTACATATGAGGTTTCACTTGGACATACAGTTTAATATTCACCATATCTAGAAAATGTTGAAACAGAAAAGGGAATTTTTCTCCTAAACTTAACAGTTATGCCAAAATAAGTAGACAAAATATAAAAATCTGTGCCTACTGAAAATTGTTGTTGTTCATCAAGTTAGAGCTATTTTATAGTTGGCCCACAACAGGCTTTCAGAGGCGTTATATCACATGGGAGGAGATGGCCTATTCATGTGCCTCTGGATTTGCAGTGCAACTCCTTACCTCTAAGCCACCAAAGCTACACTGAAAAGTATAATTGTAATGCAGTAACATGGAAAATAGTTTTGGGGGTTTGGGTTTTATTCTTTTATTGAAAGTTTACAGAGACTTAGGGTTTCCAGTCATTCATTGTTGTACTTTTCTCCCTGCCCACCCCCTTCACCACCAAATCACTCCTCTCCTTGAAAAGAAAAACTATTTCATAGTTATGCAACCCCTCCCCCCAAGTTCACTCCACTGATGCAGCCATCACTCTGGACTTCTGTAATGACAAGAATACCCATTCTGGGGAGCTCTGGTGGCCTAGTGGCAAGGAGCTGCAACTACAATCCCAGAAGCGAACGTTTCGAATCCACCAGATGCTCTGCCGGGGAAGGAGGGACAATCTCCTTCTGTACCAGTCAGATCTGATTTGATGGTACACGCACACAAAAATAATGAAATAAAAATTAAAAAAAAAAAAAGAATACCCATTCATGCATCTCTTTTAAACAGATCTCTCCTTCATCTGTTTCAATGCAATATACATCATCCTCCCCTCCTTTCCTGTCTTCCCTCAACCCTGTTGTAAAACGGGGCTGATGTCAGGGTTGAGAAAATAGTTTTTAGGGAATTTAAAATTAAGGACAGAGCATTATTTTAATGCCCATTTAGGACTTTGTTATTTGAGTCAAGTTTTTTATTCCAGAATTTTTCTAGCATAATGCCACACCAGGAACATTATTGTGAACCATTATTGTGACCTTTTTTACTTACTGTGGCAATAATGTGAATCAAATAATATCCTAAACTGTTTGGCAGAACGTAGACAGTTTTTATTAATTCCGTGTTTGTATCCTACCCATTGTCACATACACTGAATCCATTGACATCAGTTTGGGGAGATTCTCTCAAATTTTTCTTTCTTCATCTGTGTAGAAATATTTTCATATTTAATAGTCAGGTTATTTAGAATATAAAATCTTTAAAGTAAGGAGTTAGGATTTATAGGTAAAACAAAACAAAAAAATGAAGAAAATACACTATGGAATTCAGAAAGGAAAGATAAGGTACCTGAGATCCCTCATTAGAGATCATTAATAATATTTAATGCCAAATAGAGATGATAAAATTTGTCATTAGCATGTAGAAAATTCCTACTGTGAAATCACAAACATTAAAAAATTTAGTAATTTAATAAAGCTCATATGATTTCTAGCTGGATCTTTTTCCTTGTATTTTATGTAAAGAGCAAAACCTCTTAAAATGACATGATTTATAAATTAGTATTAGATTTTAGGTCTCTTAAATTTTTTTTTCCCTTTTTTAATTTTATTATTTTTGTGTGCGTGTACCGTCAAATCAGATCTGACTGGTACAGGAGGAGATTGCCCCTCCTTCCCCGGCAGAGCATCTGGTGGATTCGAACCGTGCACCTCTGGGACTGTAGTTGCAGCTTCTTGCCACTAGGCCACCTGAGCTCCCCCAAATTTTTGAGGTTATAAATCTTTAGAAGTGGAAAGTGCCCTTTCTCACACAGTGGCTGGTGGACTTGAACTGCTAACCAACAAATGTAATATACAACAATGGCTCCTTCACTGTCATATAGGTTTCCAAAGCTATGGTGACCTAGCACTGCCATCCCAAAAGTCCATGGTTTGAATCAACCAGCAGCTCTGTGGAAGAAAGATGGGCAGTCTCTTTCCATGAAATGTACAGCTTCTTAAAACCAAACGGAGGGTCAGCTGTGGGTTCATTCTCACTTGACAGTATGCAACAACAACAATATGGGAGCTCTTATGGCCTCGTGGTTAGGAGTTGTGCTGCCAGCCCGAAGGAAGGTGGTTCAAATTTAACAGCTGTTCAGTGGGGAAAAGATAAATAGTTTCCTATGCGATTTACAGCCTCTGAAACAAATGGATGAACTTTGAGTAATTTATGACTCTACACATGCCAACAACAATATGCTTAAGTAAGTTTTGTATCATTTTTAAGTAAAGCATTTAAATAAAAGGAGGAGAATCACACGAGTGTACAATTTACTTTGAGGAAAAAAATACCACAAATAATTTTTTATTTGCAAATTTAAGAGTGTTAGATGAACAGAAATCTTTTCTTGTCAGGATCTTTACGGAGACATTACTGACCACAGTTGATCCTTTTGATGACCTTCACCAAAATGACTATACAGATTATGATGTGTAATTGGAAAGGTCAAACAAAGTACCTATATGTATATATACACAGAATTGTACATGCAGTTATAGATTGACTTGAAGCTATCTAAGGACTCACTGCTAGCATGGGTGTTGGTCATTACTACCGCTGTTATTTATTAACAGATAAATAGATTTGATAGCTGAAAAGGGGGGAAATGATGCTTGGAGTGATGAACTAGTTGGTACCTGGGAAGTAGAAACAAAGGATTTCTTAAGGGCACCCTAACACACACATACAGAGATATTCTAAGGCAGATAGGATGGTGTCAGAGATATTTTGTCTTTTATTTTTATTATTGCCTGACATAGATCTTTAAAATAATTATGAAGTATTTTTAAAATTGTAATAAAATAGTATACAATTCTAAACTTACTTGTTTCCAGTTAGCATCTTTGAATTTTGATGGAAAGATTCCTGCATTAGAGAGTTATGTAAGAAAATGCATAATATTGTTTATAAATAATGGAATTTCAGGGAAGACACTGATGATTTCTCTATATGCCCAGGTCCTTTAGAAGTTCAGGCAGAAAAGTCCTCTTAAAATAACAAGTCACTCAAAATTATGACCATTCCGGATATTTCCTTTCCCTGTTTCAGTGTCTGTTTTAGGGTATCCAATTTTTTTTAGGAATGAAGCTAAAATCAGATTGCCTTAATAATGATAATAAAAACTCTTATTTACAATTAGATTTGCCTCCAGACATTTTAATTTGAATAATTATTAGTTTCAAGAGGATTATCTGAGCTGTTTTCTTTGAAATATACTTAAAATTTACAAATGGTTTCAATAAGCTAGACTTTATTTATTGTGTCAGTTAAATAAATATGGGAAGGGAATGTAAACTCAAGATAAATCAGGTTGTTGACACTGAAAGCTTACTTTTCTTTTTTTCCTCTTCAGCTCAGTTTTGAAAATACATCTTTGTTCTATTAAGTTTATTTGTCTCTTTTTAATTTTTAAAACATAAAATAATCTTTGATGTTCATGAGATGGAAATCTTGTTAATTTCACATTTTATTGTAGTGCAGGGTGGGTTTTGTTTTGATTTTTTTTGTAGACAAGTCAGAATGAACATATTTGCTTGTCATTATCTAGGATGTTGCCCAGGATGTATATGGATTTACTAATCTCCTCATTAGAATCTTTTAGAAAGCAGTTGAGTCTTGATTTGGATGTTGGCATATCTGATCCTCTTTTAACTCAGCAAAAATATATTATGAAATAAGCTTTCATAAATATGATACCAATTTAATTCAAGGACCTACGTAATACTATATAGTAAGTGAATAACCATTTAAAAAATATTTACTGGTGATTGTTGGTACTATTCGGTTCCCAAATATTAAATAATATAGCTGGAAAAAAAAACAAACAAACAAAAAATAATATAGCTGGGTTTTGTTTATCATTCCTTTACTCTTTACTGTACAGTTTCTAATATTCATGTGTTTTCTTTAAATGTACATAATAGATAAAAGTTAACGGACATGTTAAAATTTTAGACACTTGAACACTGTTTATTCAGATATAGTTATTTGTATAAAATGTAATAGTCTCCCATCACTACATATTTTAAATAAATCTGTTTCCCTGGAAGAAATTGAACTGATGATCAATCTTAATGAGTTAATCTAAATTCTTTACATCTAAAGAATATTGTTAATATTTAAACATCTTAGACTCTGAGAAGGTGTCATGGTGGCATCATAGATTTAAGTATTATGTTGCTTACCCAGAACGTTCGTCATATGAAGCGATCAGCTGTTTTAAGGATAAAAAATAGTGGTAGTCTATTTCCATGA